ATACAAATTTAATAATAAATAAAAATAAATAAATAAATTTAATTAGAGCAGGTGCTGGCAATGGCCGAGGAGCTGCAAACATTTATTCAAGCCACTAACAGGCCCCAGAGGAGCCATCCAGCCATTTTTATCCAGAGGGACCTTCCGAAAGAATCAGTCAAAAGAAAGGTTAGGATGTTGGCTTGTTCTGAAGAACAGGTGTGAGAGCACCTCTTGCAATGTTTTGCACACTTGGCATTCAGAGCTGTTTTTCGGCTCCTGCGTGTAGGGTGTGATCTCAGCGACAGAAAAGTCTACCCCTTGCCTGTCAGGCAAGACCTGGTTTTCATTGTCCATCCGGTGGAGAAGCTGGATCCAATTCAATGAGTCAAACCGGTTTAGGAAAATTGAACGGATCTGGATTCCTGAAGCGCGTTCTTTTGTTGCATCTGATTCAGTTTTCGGAATCAAATTAGGAAAAGCCACTTTTATGCAAACGCCCAAAAGGCCAGATCGATTCAGTGGGGAGTCCAGTGTGACCCACTTTGACTTGTTTCAGAAATCCATTCCAAGATTCAACGGAACCACCATCAAATCTCCAGATAAAATCTTGGCCCGGCCCAGCTACTGATCAGGGCCGGTTTAAGCATAAGACCTTCATTGCAAAGTTGCCGTATGAAATACTCCTTTTCCAGTTTTTGCATTTGTGTGGCTCGTGTTCAGAGAGGCCTCCCCATCGTTTTCTTAAAGTCGTTTCACCCTTTTCCAGAATCTTGCATTCTCCTGAAGCTGATTTGATTTGATGTATTGATTGTATTTCTTTGTGCTGCAGCCACAGGACTTTAATTCTGCCGTACTTACCTTTTCCGAGCAGTACAGTAATGCCAGCTTGGTTCCCAGGGATTTATGCTTGGAGATTGAATTTAAATCCTGCTCCAGACTGAAATCCTCCATGCGCTGGGCTCCAGTTACCATAATCCCCTGCTAGTATGTGTTGTACGCTGCCCAGAGTCACTTTTATGTGAGATGGGCGGCTATATAAATATGATAAATAAATAAATAAACAGCTACCTTACCCTCCTGATTATTAGCATGTGTGAACGGAAAGCTGGTCATCCAACCAGATCGAGCGACGAAGAATGTTCGTTTAGAGCTGGCCATTTTTTCCAGCAGTTAAACTGAAATGTGATAGTTAAATAAAATTTATGAGATTCAAGGTCACTTTGAATATTTATGCCAGATGTGAAGATGAAGGTTTTCTCCCATCTTTTCTGACTTTGATAACACCAAAATGGTTCTCTCCCCCACCCCACTTTGGGAAGAGTTTGGACTTCCCAGGCTAGCCCCCAGCCCCGGGATTTTCTGCTTTCCCAGGGACCCCCCTCATCAAGAGGGGGACTAATGACCTCCACGTCACCTTCAACCTCAGTTAATATGGCGGCTCCTTCACTCCCGGCCAAAGATTTGAGTAACCGCATCTTCGCTCTGCTTGTCTCTCTCCCACGTTCTAGTCCTTAAACATCAAAGCGGCAAACTAATTAAGGCCTGCTTTCTGTTAAAATGTTTCAAGAGAAAATGTAGAAAGAGCTTTTTTTTAATAACTAGAAAGATAAGGATAAACTGGAATAAGTTAATTTGCTAAGTCTTCTCGAGAAATATGAAGATTTCCCTTCTTTTCTCTTCTCTCAATTTTCCCTTCCCTTCCCTTCCCTTCCCTTCCCTCTTCCTCTTCCTCTTCCTCTTCCCACCAAAAGAGGTCTAATCAAATGGATACACCAGGAACTCCAGTTTTCTTTCCTTTGATCCTGAATTGTAAATAGTCTGGAGAGCTTTCAGGAGTTTGCCAGCAAAATTCTACATCCAGGAACTGACTGTCAGAATTCTGCACCGGATGACTTTAGCAACAATTATCAGGGGGAAAT